GATTCGTCCTTTACTCTTGCTTACTCTTTATCATTATTTTTAACTTTTAACAAATGACTAATACTTAGTAGGCCCTGCCTCATTTAACGCGTGTATATTCCTAATTGAGTAGATGCCATTATGTCCATCCACAGTGGAAACTGGACTTAGGCAGGCTACGTCTTTTGCCCACGGCCACCTAACTACTGAGTGGAGAGGACACTTTCTAGATCCCAAGAGCATTTTCCACCTGAACAGCTGGGAGGTCATGTGATAAGTTGTACAGTTGTTTTCCAGGTCCTTTTCGAACCCTGAGAATCAGGGGTTACAACATTATTTTGTTTTAATTATCATAGCAACATTAAATATGCTTCAAATGATTAATCTCAAGTAAAATATTTTCCTTTCTAAGTATTTTGACCTTTTTAGAAATAAATCTGGTGACATTTCAGCACATATTACAAGGATATGCTTGAGATGATGCAATAAATAGGTACGCTAACCCTGAGTGATCTGTGCGTGCGTGTGTGTGTGTGTGTGTGTGTGTGTGTGTGTGTGTGTGTGTGTGTAAATTAATCCTCTAGGGAATACTAAAAATGGTACTGAGGATTTAGGGAAACTTCAGCTTTGAGCTTTGAGCCCCTTAAAGAAGGTACTTGTAAAGATGGAAGATGGGGGAAGAAAATCGTGTCACTTATATGCATAAAGTACAGGATCCCTGGTCCTTACTACCCCTTAAGCTAACCCACAGGTAGCGCAGTCACACAGCTAAACTTCCTAGTCTTACTTTTAGAAGGGCTGGGATACCTGTAGCTTCTGTTAATTTTTAAATATGTAAGATGGTGGGTTAGAGTATAATCTTCATGGTAACCTCTGTTTCTCCTGTAGTCACCTGTGTCCCAGGTCGGTCTCCATGTTGCTCTGGAGAGTGCTTTTGAGGCCATAGCCCCAAAACACCTTTCTCCAGAGCTCTGAGTGAAGCCTGTCTGACCTATCTTGTGAGTGCTGCAGGCGCAGCCTGCTACCATGGGAAAGAAAACAGCCCTAGCAGTCACTGGAGCTGTTGTTTCAAATGAGCAAAGACCAAGTGCATTTTGGGACATCGTGCATTCTGGGCGCAGCCTGTGTGGGTTCCACAGCAGACACTAGTGGGGCACACTGTCACTGACTGGGTTTGTCTGTTTGCTTTCTGTATTCTGCTTGTATTCTGTTTGGGCTGCCTTCTTGCCCTGAGCAGGGACCTGCAGCTCAGGAGAGGTGAAGTAACTAACAGTAAGAGCAACAAGCCTTTCTGTGCGGGTTTTAAGTCTCAGAAATGGCTGTGGAGGATGCCTGGGGGTGGGGGTGGGGCAGGCCGTGAGCAGCGTTGCCTAGCAACTGGTATCATAAAATAGAAACTACAGGCAACTGCACCTGTGAAAAGATTGTGTTAAAGAAACAGGATGACTGTGGTTTACTGTGAGCATCAGTTTTCCCGTTGAGACCTTTTACAGGAAGTTGAAGAACAAAGTCAAATTCACCTTAATTAGTTTTAATGGGTTTCAGGTCTTAAAGACATCCAACTCAGTTTGCATTGTGAAGTCTCTAAAGAATAAAATCAAGAAGATTTTTCCCCAGTAGGAATCTCAAAACTCTGAGCTTTTAAAGAATTCATGATTCTAACAGAAATTTCATATTACTAAATAAGTTTATGTCCCTTTGAGTAGATCCATAGCTTCTGAATGAATGCCCTTGCATTTATTTATTTTTATGGTTGTAATAACAATGTGAATTTAAGACCTTTGACTCATTTAAACATTATTGGGTTATATGTATTCTGAACCTCTTATATTAATGTCTTGGCCAAACATGGGGGGTGGAGAACACATTTTCCCAGCCTGAGAGGGGTGGGCAGGTGCCCAGGCATACATACACATGCATTTTTAAGCTAGGAGGCTATACACCAAAACAAGAATGGTTTCTGGGGGTTATTTACCTCAGCTCCCTTTTCATCCGAAAGCTAATTATTACTGGATGCTTTTTTTTTCTGAGGACAAGCAGAACTTTTGGTGTCTTTCTGTGTTGCCTGATATTTTCCACAATGTTCCCCCTTGGAGCCAGGGGAGAAAATAACAAAGCTAAGTTGGAAGGAAGCCGGGAGCATGCAAGCAATCGTGAAAATAAATTAAGGGTGCTATATATAAACTGTCATTGAACTTGAATGGAAATTATAGAAAGAATATGAAAGTACCGAGGGCAAGAGCAGTTGGACCTGCAGATCTGTTGCATTGTTTCTATGGTAACCCTTCCCCATCCTTACACACACAGGGCACTCAAAGTGCCTGACTATTTGACTCCTTTTGTGGAGAAAGGGTTACTTTCCTCCATTCCCTTTTATGTAGCATAGTGTTTAAGGGCAACAGCTGGCAGTGTTTACAGAACAATATGCTCTGAGTTTTCAAACAGCCCATAGCAGTGTAAAAATCAAAACAAAACCGGATAAAACCATTTCCAGTCTTCTCTAATGGAATTCCCCCCAACCCCCAAGATTAGGAAGCCCCTTCTGATGACTATCTGGTGTCCCCGGTGCATTTACTGGAAATTCTCCCTTCGGATTATTTAGTGGTGTGGGCCTCATAGAGTCAACTTCAGATTGAATTCTAAATTAGCTTTAGACTACGAAGCAACTTATTTAAATGACTAGCAAATCTAGCAAATTCTCTCAGTCCCCCAAATCAGTCATTTTATGTTCTGGGATAATTCTGTCTTCCTAGCATATTGAAGAAGTTGTGAGCTTCCTGGGGCAAATCTGTGATTGAGCCTCTAGAAAAGGGAGTGGGCTGGCAATTCTTTCATTCATGGTATTCTTCATAGCCAGCTCCGCCAGTTAACAAATGGGCCCCAGCTGTGCGGTGGCCAGGTGTTCTAGGATGCGGTATGACGCCTAGTGCAGTGTTGAAGCTTGGCATTGTACTTTTCAGATATTCACTTTGTTTTGGTCCCCCAAGCTCACAAGCCCCTGATCCCATCTGTGGACCCTGTGGGTGTGAGGATACAGGCAGGAATGCCTAGTTCATTAGAGTCTGTGCCCTGGTGCCAGGATTCTCCAGGAAGGTCACCTCTGGCAGGTGTAAGCTATAGGAGACACTGGAAAGCCCTACTTTTCAAGGCCTTGGGGCTTGAATTTACTCAGGAAGTCCCAGGCTGCCATAAAAACAAGTCCCAGCAGTTAACACTAGCAAGCCCCTCTGAGGTACAGTGCATTCTTTGCCCAAGCCTCATGGAACACTAGATGCCCTGTGAGCCATTCCAGTGGCAAGAGCTTGGTCTTCTCATGTAACTCCAGCTCCTTCCCTACACATATTTAGTGAGAACCTTACTTTATGTCACTGGGGAGACCTGGTGGAGTCCATAGTCTGGTAAGAAGACAGCCAAGATGTCGGCCTGGCACTGAGCCAGGCACGGGGAGACACAGACTTGGCCTTTGATGCATGTGGTGAGTGATGTGCCAAGACTGGCAGCTAGGATTTCTGGGATTTTTAAAAAGCTTTCCTTAAGACTCATCCTGGAAGGGTCCAGACCACAGACCACACGTAGAAGCTACTCGGCTAAATTCCAACAAAGGTACTTGGCAGCCTTTTACACCGAGGTGAGCGCAGGGATAGTTCATCTGGAGCGGCAGAGATGTTCTAGTATAGGACGGTTTATTACTTCAAAGGATTCCAGTCTAGGTAACAAGAAAACTTCACCAAAAGAAACTGCTTAAAATGGCCCAAAACAGGGCAGCATAGCCCAGTGGGAGAGTGGAGGACACGATTCTAATGAACAACCTTGGAGACTTAGTGAGAGACTCAGTTTTTCTAGGTCTTGGAATTCCTGGCTGTATGAATGCAGCTGAGCTAGATTGCAGTGAGAACCTGGAAGATACACTCACCGCCCTGCCCTCCGGGGTCTCTAGCTGGCTAACCTGGGGCTTGCTGTGTAGTGTAGGCCTCAGACTTGCCATGATACTCCTGCTTCTGGCCCCTAAGTACTTGGATTGCAGGGATGTCCCTCCACGCTGGGATGGGCTAAGTTCCATTTCACAGTTAACTCACTTTGAAGGGAATGGGTCCCAGATGTCTTGGTTCTTGTTTAGAAGCAGGTGTGAGGAATCTAGCTCTGTTGCTCACAGGAATCAAGCTGTCCACAGTATTTCAATGGCTGGTATGCTTTAAGGCATAAATTTTCCACATCAACTTCTTAGTGGTTGAGCTAAATTAATGTTTAAGCTCTAAGAAATCGTTTTCTGCAGTTGGGAGGGACTATTGGGAATAAAGGCAAATAATTCCTGTGTTTGGAATTGGGATATGTTGTACAGAACTCAGGTGACTGATGTCCCAAGCTGCTCACTGGCTCAAAGCTCAAACAGTGTGATAAAGATTCTTAAATTTTAATGCTTTTGACCCATCTAGAGATTTTGTTTGTTTGTTTTTTTGTTTTTCAAGACAGGGTTTTTCTGTGTAACCACTGTGGCTGTCCTGGAACTAGCTCTGTAGACCAGGTTGGCCTTGAACTCACAGAGATCCGCCTGGGACTAAAGGCATGTGTCACCACAGCCTGGCAACCATCTAGGGATCTTACTAAAATGTTGGACCTGATTCAAGGGGATCTGGGAGGTGGGAGAGCAGGACATCTTTTATGCAAATGAGCTTGGAAGAGAAAGCTACTTAAAATATGTTTGACCAGACTGGGATTCATTTCCAGTAGCTTCCAGAAACTCTTCCTGCTTCTGCAGGCACAGGCTCACAGCCAGCCTGTTCCGCTGTGGCCTGCAGTGTGGGGACAGAAATGAGCAGGGTTAGTACTGGGTATGACTTTCAGTCACCTGCATCCCCTCCCAGCAGGGTCCCTCCTAAACAGTCCTACCTGAGCGATGAGGAAAGGATAGTCCATCCCATCCCCTTCTAAAAGGTGGCCTATGTCACTGCGGTAGACTAGTAGGGAGGTTCCGACAGACATTGTTGAACGAGCTAACGCACCCATGTGTTTTGTTTGTACAGATTTATCCACAAGACTGTTGAAAATTTAACTGTCCAAGATGCCTGTTCCTCCCCCACCAGCACCCCCACCGCCACCGACATTTGCTCTCGTAAGTACCTTTTCTCTGTTCACTTTTTCTTAGGAAAAGGAAGAAAACTTCTTAGTTTTCTAAGTCTTGCTGCATAGTCCAAGTTGGTCTGCAACTCCCCCTGTCTTTACCTCCTACGAGCTGGGATTATTTATGGAGTATGCCAACACAGTGACTTTCTCCCTTCACTCTGTGCATGAAGAAGACCAAACAAAGTCAGACCCTGGCATGTGGTTGTGTCATAAGTGCTTTGGCATCCTGGCGCAGGTCTGCTGTAGAAGGCTTTGCCAGGGCCCCATCTTTTCTGAGGTTAGAACCTAGTTGAGACCTGTCAAAGCCAGACAACACAAAGTATGTGTTCGGTTCTGGGATGCAGGCTGGAAGCCTGGAGGATGGGTTATTAGGCTTCCTCTACCAGGCCCATCAAGGCAAATGTGATCATTTACAATAAGGCTTCTCGGGACAGCTCTCAGGCGGTTTGCACTGTTTCCCATGCAGATGAACTCAGGGCCTAGCCAGTCACCCCTGGGTGGGCCAGTCCAGAAAGTGAGGGCTCTCTGCAACGTACCCAGAGCCTTCCAGACTCAGTCCTTTCTCTTTCCACCTTCCCCCTCTCTTCACACTCTGTCTCATGGATGCTCTCCATCGCCACCACTACCTTTCCTATATACGCTCATACCCCATTTAAACCTCACAAGACGATTATGTCCCTGAGGAATGTCGTCACTGAACTGGTCCTTTGATGAGCCTGTTAGGGAATTTCGTGCATCCTCTTTCAAGAAGACTCCAAGACACACCTCATCCCACAGCCCCTCTACCATGTGAGCCCTTGCTGCTTGGGAGTCACACACTGATGACTGACCCCTTTATTTCTTATATGGGGAAACTGAGGCTTGGGGAGAAAATGCCCCTTGCTCCAGGTTCCCATGGGACACATTTATATAACTCTTCTGAGAGAGTCGCTTTGGGCATAAGAACAGAAATTGTGTTTAAGCATTTAGAAATATTCATAACAATTTGATGGGAGTTAGGTTTATTCTAAGGTATCTTTTTAACCAATTTGTTTTTATAATAATTTCTTTTTCTAAAAGTGTCAGTCCATGAAATTTTAAGCAGCCTTGTATTGATTAATTAGAAAACACTCTTAGCTGACTAATGTGGCAAGATTAGTTTATCCGTATTTCTCCCAAAATGTGAGCTGCCTATCATTATTAATTGGCACATGGGTTAACTTTTAGAATCTTAATGCTGATAAATTTATTTTAATATGTGTTCTGAAAATGTATGATTGGCACAGCAAAGCCAGAGGCTGATTTGAAAGCCAGTGATTTCATTTAAAAGAAAGTGTTCATTAAAAAACAGTACAGAAAATAATAGAGTGAATGAATTTAATGAAAATATTAAATAAATAACACAGTTAGCATGAGGAGGTTTTTTAAATAATGAATGTTGACCCTAAAGGATTAAAGTTTGAAGCCTGGTGTGGCAGCTTGCCTGCCATCCAGACTCCTAAGACTGAGGCAGGAGATTAGCCAGGGATGCAAATACAGACCTCAAAACAAGATCTGGGAGGAAGGAAAGTGGGTTAGTGGCCATCAGGGGATACTGACCTGGGGAACAATGCACTTAAGGGTCCTGCTCTGTCACGTGAGAGAGGTTGGCATCCAAGGAAGTCAGGGGACAAAGTAAATCTTCAAGCCGAGGCTGTTGACTCAAAATTGAAGATGTGCGGTGTGGACACATCAGTTACTCTCTAGCCCTGAGTTAATTTTCATCCTTAAAATAAAGGGACCGGGTGATTTTTACAGGTCCCTCAGTATATTTTAGGTGTAATCGAGAATAAGATTACTAGCAAACCAAGTTACCCACCCAAGACGTTCTGGATGGACAGCAGGGAGGCTCCCAGCAGGCTGCCTTGGGGGTGGAGAGAAGTGTTGATGGGGAAGGCACATTGGGAGTCCACGTTGACCCTCCCTTCAGATTCCAGGGAAGGTGCTGGAGTTAGACTGTCAGGGTTCGGATCTCAGCTCCTCCTCTTAGCCTCTGCAGCAGAGTGGGGGTAGAGATTTAACTTACTCACACTACAGGTTTTCACTGATGTTTTTGCTTGGGGTTTGTGTGTCTGTAAAGTGGAAATAGCACACAGGACAAAGAAGACTGAATTGAAATAAAACACAATACGCCGAAAGTGCTTAGCTGTTGCCATTGCTACCAAGGGCTGTCTCGCCGTGACACTGTGTTTGCAACACGATGTGCAGTAATTCCAAGAAGCTGAGCTGCCCTTATGCCTCCCCCCACACACACCAAAAGACTGAGTGAGGTGTCAAGCCACGTGCTTCTCCAGTTTTACTTCTCACGCCCATAACTGGCTTATCTGGGCGTTCACCCCTTCCGGAAGGGTGGGGCCAGCCCTGGAGGACCCTCAGGCCTGCTGGAAGGACCCTTAGCTTTGAGGCAGCCACGCTCTCCCTGGGATGAGCAAGATGAAGCCAGTATTCAGGACCTTCACATGGATGTGTTAGACCCTAAGTGTCCACATCCCCAGAATACCTGTGAAGGGTCAAGGTCTCGGTTTCCTAGTCAGGAATTCTTGGATTGTAAGAAATACCCAAACATTTTTTTTGTAGCTACTTTCTCTGAACTAAGCTTTCAAAGGAATTAAACATTAGAAACATGGTCAAAAGAACATGAGGGCATTGTGGGGTAAGGAGAAATATTGTCCTCTCTGTCTTAGGGCATTGTGGGGTAAGGAGAAATATTGTCCTCTCTGTCTTGACTATATGTTTGTCAAAACTAGTAGTACTATGACCTGGCGGGAGGGAGTCACTCCGTGGAGATTATGCCTTAGTAAATCTGAGCATCAAAGGAGGAGAGCACCTTTGTCAATGCACTCAGAGGGAGTTGCTTTCCAAAAGTTTAGTGAGTTTAAAACCCTACCCTGCTGTGACAGAGTCAGGCCTTTCCTTGCAGCGGTGAGTGCTAAACTTCCATTCTTCAGGACACAGCCTCAGGAGAGGGCCTGTAAGCAGGCAGCAGAGCTCCCTCAGACTGAACTCCTCCTGTGAGGGGCTGGCACACCCTGGCTGTTTATGGGAAGATTATGGTCTGAAAATTCAGTTTTGTTTTGGTTTGGTTTGGTTTGGTTTGGTTTTTCGAGACAGGGTTTCTCTGTATTGTTTTCGAGGCTGTCGGTCCAGCCTGGCCTCGAATTCACAGAGATCCGCCTGCCTCTGCCTCCCGAGTGCTGGGATTAAAGGCGTGCGCCACCACCGCCCGGCCGAAAATTCAGATTTTTATCACAGACTTACTCTTCCAATTTTTTTTTGTTTGTTTCCTGTATCTGCTCCCAGACATCTGGCCTTAAAGAGAATGCTATAGATTCCAAAACCCTCATAGAGTTTACAGCCTTAAAGAGAATGCCATAGACTCCAAAACCCTCATAGAGTTTACAGCCTTAAAGAGAATGCCGTAGACTCCAAAACCCTCATAGAGTTTGCAGTCTGGAACCTTAAAACTACAGTGCATAATTTTACCCCAAGGGTGGCCGATGAATCTGTGTGGTTACCTTTCAGGCCAATACCGAGAAACCCACCCTGAATAAGACACAGCAGGCTGGGAGGAATGCCCTTCTCTCTGACATCAGCAAAGGGAAGAAACTCAAGAAGACAGTCACCAATGACAGAAGTGCACCAATATTGGACAGTGAGTACAAATTCTTTCCATAGTGCTAAACGGTTACAGCCTAATGGTCAACTTACGCTTCTCACCAAACCTTCACCTCCCCCCTCATATTAACAACAGCTGCAAAGATAGCAAAAGACAGGACTGTGCTAGTCATTGTAGTCACAGCTTTGGCTTGAGCCCCCTCTAATGCCCCAGGAAGCCAACATAATAATTCTTTGTCCAAGAAACACACAGCAGCGATTCTCTGAATTATTCATAGCGCTTTCTGGAGATTAACCCGTTGCTCCTGGCATAACAGATGACAAGGAAGCATGAAACATGGAAAAAGTGCCACGGCCTTTGAATCAGGATCCAGAGCCCTGTGCTGCCATCAGGTCGCAACTCCCAGCCCAAATGTCTTCATTTGTAAAGTAGAGATAATACCTCATTACCAACCTCATGAGTCTGTTGTGAGCTTCCAATGAGATAGCGCTCGTACAGTGCTCTGTTGTCTGCTAAGTGGAATTCTAGAGAAGGACATGATTCCCAGGGGACTGGGGAGAGGAAATGAGATCACAACTTGCTTATCTGTGCACCTGAGTCCGAGGAGCCTTCTGCAGTAAAACGGGGTCTATATAAACAAGCAAGTATGTACAACATAAGCCTGGCATTGTGATAGAGTGAAAACCATCCCTGACTGGATTCAGGTGTGGACACTGTCCTTTCCATCTCACCAGGATTTATCATAGCCTCAGATCTCATCTAAACTCGGGGAAAGCAACTGAACTGGAAGCCACCAAGTGCAGCTCTGCAGACTGGTGAATTAGGGTGCGGGTTTAGGAGAGTTAGAGGTAGGTAGGGCCTCACTGGAGAACAGACCTAACAGGTAGAGGAGGAAGAATCAGAGTTGGAAGCGAAAGGGAGGAAAATGGAAATGAGGAAAGCAGAGACTTTGGGCAGGGCTCTGCTGTCAGGGCATGTCTACACAGTGCTCAGAAAGGCATTGTGGGTTTTCAGCACTTGACTAAGAGTCTGATCTCTAGCTTAAACACCCCACAGTATTTCTTCTGGGAGTCCAGCACAGTTCTATCTGGGAAGCTTTGGTCAGACAGCCATCTGAGTTGTGATCTCTAGTGTGCGGCTAGAGAAGCTACCAGCTCTAGGACAGAGGGCATCAGCTCTCTCCTCTGAGTCTGGAGCCTTGAAGAGAAGGTGTGAGTTCTCGCTAACTCTGAAGGGAACTGGACAGTGCGGGCCTATTCCTGACTCCTTACGGAAACTCCTCTAGTCATCAAGGTCTGTGTCTTGCATTGTACAGATGTTAGTCTTTTCCTCTCAGGCTCAGTGGTGCTGAGGGGTGTGCATCTGACAGATGTAAGATGCAGCCCAATGTATGTCTTCATTGTCCCTACACTTAACTGGAAACCTATACTGCTGTCCAGGCTCTTTTCGAGTAACAAAATTCATCCATGGCTTTGTATTTGTTTGAATGCAAAACCTCCCTGGTTCTATATCAAAGTGCTTATGCATGATAGCTTTGTAATTCAGCCCTGTCTGCCATTTGTGCTAAATGGCCTAGAGCCAGCCCACTGTCCTCAATTTCACTTTTTTTTTAATTAGTCCACTCTGTTACTATAACAAAAGACCTAATAAGTACTATAAGGAAAAGAAACTGATTTCACTTATAGTTTAGAGGTTTAAGAGTATGGTATTGGCATTGGTCTGGCTCTGATGAGGACCTCATGGGGAGGTGTTACAGCAGCGGTAGATGTACAGGCATAAGGGAGACCAGATAGCAAGACAGAAAACCAGAGAGGGGGACAGCCAGTCCTGCTGTTTTATAATAAACCCTTTCAGCGTCCTGTGAAACCATTAGTTCTTCTGAGGGCAATAACACCCCACTCTGTTGCTTAACTATTTCCCATAAGCCCCTCTTCCCTAAAGGCTACACTCCCTCTCTATGGACACACTGAGGACTAGGTTTCCCATATGTGAGCCTTGATCAATACACATAAATGGCACCCAAGCCATCGCACTTCCCTATGTGGAAGTAGACAAGACTGATGACTGTGTCTTAGCACAGCACACTTTCAATTTACAATACCATGTAAATGTGTCCTGTGTGTATGTGTGGTGCTGTAAGATGTATTATTCAGTGATAAATAATATTTGAATGACAAGGACAATTTTATGTTATTGGTAATTAAAATTAGTAAAATTTTAAACTTCATTCTAAAGCAAACACTCTAGAAATTGTTGCTGTAATTGGGTTTAGCCTGTTAGGTAAAGTAGTCCTTGTCAATTCATTATCAGATTATGTCTTCAGCAGAGAGCTCTACACCTAGGAAAGATAGAGAGCTAATGACTAATTTAGAAAAACACATTAATGAATAAGATGAAATCTCAGAAAGTCAATAAAGAGATTTGAAACAGATTTTCTAAAATTAAGGCTAGGATAATGAGGTTCCATGCTGAAATGTCTTCAGATATTTCCTTTGTGAGTGACAGGATTACAGGTGTGCTTCATGCTGCTCAGCTCATTTTAAAATCTTGAAGAAATTAATTTCCTAAGAAATTATTAATTTACTAAACTTTACTTGGGAAGTCACATAAACAATGAAAACTTTCTAAGATTATTTTCTCTCTGAAAAACCATGGAATTGAATGGTTTTTATTAGTAGGTTCTGTGTTTCAGATTTCAAGAAACAGCTAATTCAAATGCTGTTTAAGTCATTCCCGAGCAGGAAGCCACAGAAAGCTCTCTGGTAGATGTCATGAAACTGTTGTCATCCTGACAGCAAAATGGAGCAAAAGCATTCCACACAAGAAGTCTGCAGGCTGGTGGCTTCCATCAGGGGGCTCCAGACATTCTTGTTATATTAGGCAAGCATTCTACCACTGAGTTACCTGCTAACCCTGGATGACATTCTTAGCCTTCTCTACCTGAGTAGGAATGAGATGCTTCCAGTGGGGAGAGGTCAGAGACGCTGTGAACAGACAGGACAGCCACCCAAAAAACTGTCAGCATAGGAGTTCCAGAAATAAAAAAGTGGCATGCACTACTTATCATGAATAAGAAAACACTAAGCAAAAAAAAAACAAAAATCTAGTAAGAATAATTCACCAAGACCAAAAATAATCCCACTTTTCAGTACTAGATTTAAAATCTATTCTTCATATAAAATAGTAAAAACCATATAATCAACTCAGTAAATGCAAAGTAGGTATTAGATAAGATTCCATATTATATGTCTTTAGGCCTAATACAGAAGGATCCTTACTGACCCTGGTATCATAATAGTTAATATTTAGCTTCGGAACAGGAGTAGTCTCATTAAAACCAGAACATGGTTACTATAGCAACATTGATAATCCACATTGTTTAGGAGGTTCAGTCATCAAAGTGATTATTTACATACAGCAGAAAGAAGGGGTACAGTTTTTAGAAAGGAAAAGCCTTTACTATTTGAAGAGTATATGCCTATTGGAAAATGAAAGACCACCAATTTTTTTTAATTTTTAACTTAAAATATACAGCAAAGTGGCTAAATCAAATAAAATTTCTTGGTGCCAATAACTAAGTACGAAATGTAATAGGAAAATGCCCTTTTCAAAATTTTAAAGTGCACACACACACACACACACAACAATTGCAACCCCTCACAAATCTAAAAGACATAAATAAATAGCAAATGGCAAATTTTGCTTTGTTTCCAAATGTAAAATGTAAATATTATTTGTGTTGGTTACTGCCAATGAATGTGTACATCTCAGCTGTGCGATACCTCTCCAGGACAAGGCACGGGTTGGGGAAATAGGGCTTTCATGGGTGTTTAACCTTAAACACACACATACCTACATTAGTTACTAAAAAGACGAATTTTTAAAAAGCATGTGTCTTTCTCCAGGCAGTGGGGGTGCATGCCTTTAATCCCAGCACTGTGAGTTCAAGGCCAGTCTGGCCTACAGATCAAGTTCCAGGACAAACTCTAAAGTTACAGAGAAACCCTGTCTTGAAAAAAACAAACAAAAAACAATTTGCTGAATGTTCGGATATAAAGCAAATAGACATTAATATGGCAACTAATCAAGTGAGGGAATCATGGAGACACTGGACATGTTTCTTCTACCCCTTCTGCTCTGTGGTTAAGGCAACCCCTTGAAATACCTCAGCTGAGTGAAGAAACCATCATCCCACAGATGCCCAGCATCAGCCTGCTCTTCCATCACTGTGTAATCCTTTCCTGGGCTAGGACTGGTACACACCTCTGCATTTTCTCAAGTGTATTTTCTTCCTTCTGCAGAACCAAAAGGAGCCGGTGCCGGTGGTGGTGGCAGCTATGGTGGAGGTGGTGGAGGTGGCGGTGGAGGAGGCGGCGGCGGTGGTGGCAGCGGAAATTTTGGAGGAGGTGGACCCCCCGGATTGGGAGGACTATTCCAGGCTGGAATGCCAAAGCTGAGGTCCACCGCCAACAGGGATAATGGTATTTACAATTCTTTCTCTGGTGTCCAGAACAACAGGCAGTTTGGCCATCTGGAGATTGACAGACCTGCCTGAGGCTCTGCCCTTTAAATTTTTACATTGTTTAAGATGTGGACCTGAGCCAGGTGGTGGTGGCACATCATGCCTTTAATCCCAGCACTCGGGAGGCAGAGGCAGGCGCATCTCTGTGAGTTTGAGACCAACCTGGTCTACAAGAGCTAGTTCCAGGACAGCCTCCAAAGTCACAGAGAAACCCTGCCTCAAAAAACCAAAAAAAAAAAAAAAAAAAAAAGATGTGGTCCTGTTTTATGAGGGGCTGTGCCCCAGCTTCTCCCCTTTATCAGTGGGGACCAGGCAGGCCTGTAGAGTTATGAAATATTTGGGCAGTATCCTCGGGGTAGCCCATCCTCCACGCTTTTCTAATGGGTGGACTGGAGCTGGGAAAAGGGAGACTCGGACCTGCTTCCCCAGACTCTACCTGATAACCTGGGAGCGAAGCCGTCTGTCAGACGGCCTATCTAAGTCATTTTCAAATACACCATGGAGAATGTCCTAGAAAAGGCAGCTGCAGGCCTCACTACAGAGCAGCAGGTATTTTGCATGGCAGACATTTGATACTGCAAGCCAGTGTTCTGAGTACAGACAGGGTATCCCTTATCTGAAATCCTGGCATGGCCATGATGAGGTAGCTTGAGGATGGGACTCAAGCCCATCACAAAATTCACTTGGGTTTCAAATAGGTCTTATACGCTCCACTCGAAGGTAATCGCACACAACAGTATGAACATCTTTCATCTGAAGGCACAGTCACCAGCCCTCCGGGATAGCTGGCCGTAGGTCCTGTCTTGCCAGTCTTGTGTTCAAATATAAAATCCTTTACTTAAAACACACAAAAAGGCTGGGTGGTAGTGGCGCACGCCTTTAATCCCAGCACTCGAGAGGCAGAGGCAGGTGGATCTCAGTGAGTTCGAGGCTGGGCTGGACCGACAGCCTCCAAAACAATACAGAGAAACCCTGTCTCGTAAAAGCCAAAAAAAAAAAAAAAAAAAAACCCACACACACACATAAAAAGATGCTAGGCAGCTGCCAGATGCGTGCATTTGCTACTTTAACAAAGGTAAAGAAATTAAACGAAAGGAAGAAAGTAAAATGAAGAAGGCGCTGGGCATTGGTGGCGCATGCCTTTAATCCCAGCACTCGGGAGGCAGAGACAGGCGGATCTCTGTGAGTTCAAGGCCAGCCTGGTCTACAAAGCGAGTTCCAGGACAGCCTCCAAAACAATACAGAGAAACCCTGTCTCAAAAAACCAAAAAAATTAAAAATTAAAAATTAAAAAATTTAAAAAAAAATAAAGAAGGCGTTGAAGTCAGTGCCAGGTGGCCTGCCACTATTTTAAGATTGACGGCAGCTACATAGCCTCCATGTGAATTTAGAAGACATAGCATAAGCTGGATATCACAGAATTATACCACCTAGTCAAGAAAAATGGATTTTTACAATGCTAAAATCAGAATTAAAATAATCTCAGGTTCATGTTACTACACTCAATAAACCTACCTAAGTGCTTCTTTTTTTTTTAAAGATGTATTTATTTATTATGTATACATTGTTCTGCCTGCATGTATGCCTGCAGGCCAGAAGAGGGCACCAGATCTCATTACAAATCTTTGTGAGCCACCATGTGGTTGCTGGGAATTGAACTCAGAGCCTTTGGAAGAGCAGGCAATGCTCTTAACCGATAAGCCATCTCTCCAGCTTCTTGTGTGGGAGTAAACTCTAACTCCTTTTGGCCTACAGGGCTCTTAGTAGCCTGTCCAGTTGGGCCCCATTTCCTGTGGATTCAATCCTCTGTGCTGTGGTACCCAGGTTTCTGTTTAGAGCATGAAGCTTCTGTCCATGCCAGGGCCTTGGTCGCTGCTAGCCCTCATCACCTCAGGTGTGCTATGCCTCATCTTCCCAAGGCTGGCCACTTCCTGTTAGACCTCAGCTCACACGGCCTAGCCCCAGAGGCACTGTCTCCAGCCCTATCAGGCCCGGGCCCTCTGGGTACTCTTGATTTGTCAGATTCATTTTGGTGCTAATAACTATTAGAAGGTTCCCCTTTTCTGGCTTATCATTTGTGTCCCCATAAGAATATAAAATATAGGAGAGACAGCTCAGGGGTTAAAAGCACTGGCTGCTCCTCCAGAACACCTGGATTTGAGTCCCAACATCTGCTTGGCATGACAGTCTCCAGAGGATCCAACACCCTCCTCTGGTCTCCTAGGCCACTGTAAACATGTGATACACAGATAAGACATACAGGCAAAACACCCATAATCATAATATAAAAATAAGCAAATCTTTAAAAAAAATGAAAAATAATTACCTTGGGTTTCAGATTTGGGAGGGCTGTTTAGATTCTCCCTTCCCCTTACCCCTTAGCTCCTCCTTAAGAATTTAGTTTGGCCAAATATCCACTATGCTTGTCGAACAAAGGCTTTACAGAGTTGTTACATCCTAATGCTGAAGGTTGACCTACCGTGTATTGGGGGGGAGGAGGCATGCCTGTTTCTTTGCAAATAAAGTTCTTACTGGTATCAATTCCTAGTTCTTTTTTAATGCAGTCATAATTCTTCACTAAATCCTGTCCGGGACGGACACACACACACACACACACACACACACACACACACACACACACACACACACACAACCTTGAGCATTTTTTTTTCCTCAAAGGGACTAGGGAAACCCTCTCACACACAGGGACTTACTTTGGAGTAACTACATTCACTCACCTAAGATGGCTGGCTGAATTATTTTTCAAATCTGAGACGGGGATAAAGACAGCAGTGGGGGTCCATGACAACTGTTAGCACGAATCTATCCAGGCTATCATAGAGACATCTCCAAAACTCTTGCCAGGGATACTTTAATTCACCCTTTGGAAAGTCTGGCTGTAAAACCTGTCCCTGGAAGATAAACGGAACTATATGTCTCTGCCTCCAGGACACCCACACAAGCATATCAAACAGTTTAAGTTTATAAGGCTAGATTACCGACTATCAGTAGCTCTGTAAGAAAGGGCGCCTCACTTTTTGACCCCGTGTCTGTTTTCTTGTTCTTTAGATTCTGGGGGAAGCCGACCACCGATTTTGCCACCAGGAGGAAGAACAACATCGGCCAAGCCCTTTTCGCCCCCAAGCGGCCCCCCGGCGCGGTTCCCTGCACCCTCACCAGGCCACAGGAGTGGTCCCCCGGAGCTGCCCAGGAACCGGATGCCTCCCCCGAGGCCTGACGTGGGCTCAAAACCCGATAGCCTTCCCCCTCCAGTACCAAACACGCCAAGACCCATTCAGTCGAATCCACACAACCGGGGATCCCCAACAGGGCCGGGAGCCCCCAGGCCTCCCTTCCCCGGAAACCGAGGTGCAGCTTTTGGAGCCAGCTCTGTGCGCCAGAACCCCTCGAGCTCCTCCTCTCCGTTCTCCAGACCGCCTTTGCCCCCCACCCCAAACCGAGCCTTGGATGACAAGCCCCCTCCACCACCTCCTCCCGTGGGCAACAGGCCCCCCATCCACAGAGAAGCCGGTCCACCTCCTCCCTCACAGAACAGCAAACCTCCAGTGCCTTCCACCCCACGGCCTGGGACCGGGTCCCAGGCCCCACCTCCTCCGCCGCCACCCAGCCGGCCCGGCCCTCCTCCCCTGCCTCCCGCTTCCAACGATGAGATCCCGAGGCTGCCACAGCGGAACCTGTCCCTCACATCCTCTGCACCTCCCTTGCCTTCACCTGGGCGCTCCGGGCCTCTCCCGCCCCCACCCAACGAGAGGCCCCCTCCTCCAGTGAGGGATCCACCAGGCAGATCAGGTACGGCAAGACGGGGGGGGGGGGTACCACGTCCCTAAATCCGTTCTCCCAAATAAGCAACATTCAAGTCAAAAACAAGTAAAGCCTTGGGTGCTGCACGATACCGATAGTGGGATGCCTTGTTTGAGGCTAAAACCTCCCGGAAGGGGCAGATAGTTTGTGCCTAGGAGGTGAGCGGACTAACTGACCAGCAAGTCTGCAGTTGGCAATGAAAAGAGTTTTCGTCCTCCACCCTGCCCTGCGCCGCTAACGGGAAGCCTGGCTGGCATGGCTGGGAGTAATTCCCATCTCACTGGAAATGGCTGTGACATCATCTCATCCCCTCCTCCCTCCCCCTTGCCCCCTTCCCTTCTCTCCCCTCCCTCCCCTCCCTGTCATTCAGAGGTTAAAAGCACTTCCAACTGGTGGTAACAATTGTCTCAGCAAAGGCCTGTAGCTCCAGCTCAGAGGGCTGCCAGAGAGGAGGATCTCTGGGCTTGATGGCTCCCAGCCCAGCCTAGAAAAAGGGAGCCCCAAGTTCAGGAAGAGACTCGTAACTCATACACTACATTTTTGAAAAAAAGTGTTTCAAATGTGTAGGTAATATATGTCTTTATTTTGCATATACGTATTTTCTGAGACGGTCTCATGCAGGCCTGGAACTCATTACGTAGACCGGTACTAGCATTAGACTCACAGAGATCCGTCTCCCTCGGCCTCTGGAGTGCTGGATTATATGTAGTTTTCAATTTGCTTTTTCTGTTTTCTCCTGGGCAACTCTGTTGGTAGACAGGGACCCAAGCTCTGCAGCCTGCCAGCAGCACACCAGGGTGCAGGAGTCACCACCTAACAGACTGAGATTCTGACCAACAGTTCCTCACTCACTGTGCTTAGCTGCCCCCACCCCAAGAGGAATAATCTGGAAGGGACCCCACAGGTCTCCAGATGACCAGTGTTTGGTCTCCTGGTGCCACAGAAATATGCTTGTGTGGTCTGCCATAATACTGCACGTCTAAAAACTCAGTACTGGGGCCAGCAAGGAAATGGGCTCAGCCAGTTAGAATGTTTCTGGCTCACGCCCGATGACCTGAGCTTGACCCCTGGAATCCAGGTGAAGGGGTGGAGAAGAATAGTCTCTCCAAGTTGCCCTCTGACCTCCAGGTGTGCACCATGGAGCAGATACACATACACACAAATAATTTAATTTTTTAATTTAAAAAAAAGTCCTTCTAAAGACGTAAATTAATTTTATAACTATCTTACTCCTTTTAAAAACGTATTTTTTATGGTGTCACAATAATTAGTTCAATAACTCTTTAAAAGGATAAGATGCTTTTTAAATGACATGGCTGTCAATATAGATTATTACCTGATTTCAGTTTCACTGTTTGGTGTCCCGCTCAGTGGTAACCTGAAGCGATACAGCAGGTTAGCTGCCATTATAGGCACTTACGTCACATATCCATGTGGGTTTATGTCTGCTTCATGTTTACATCCACGACTAGAAGGGTCCCACCATTTCTCATTTTCCCTAGCTAAGAGGCGTGTCTTCAGCAGGCGCCCCACCTAGCATAGGGAGTAGATGATGACCACAGCCTGGCTAAGGGGCGTGTCTTCAGCAGGCGCCCCACCTAGCATAGGGAGTAGATGATGACCACAGTCTAGCTAAGGGGCGTGTCTTCAGCAGGTGCCTCACCTTGCATAGGGAGTAGATGATGACCACAGCCTGGCTAAGGGGCGTGTCTTCAGCAGGCGCTCCACCTTGCAGAGTGCTGATGACCTCAGTGGCAATGTCTTGTCTTTTGCTTCAGGTCCCGTCCCACCGCCTCCTCCAACGAGCAGAAATGGAAGCACAGCTCGGGCCCTGCCTGCCACCCCTCAGTTGCCGTCCAGGAGTGCAGTGGACAGTCCCAGAAGCGGGCCTAGGCCTCCTCTTCCTCCCGATAGGCCTGGTGCGGGGGCACCACCCCCGCCCCCACCGTCAGCATCCGTTCGAAATGGCTTCCAAGACTCATCTGCTGAAGGTGTGTGATGCTTGCTTATGTGAAGTGATGTTTCTTGTTCTGTCGCTGTAATCCACACTGCACCCACTAACATTGCGTCCTAACTAACACAGTGAGGCTCATTACAACTTCCTGTTTCTATAGCCTTTCTCTCCCACCTTCCAAAAAGACAGCTTGTTTTTTTCTAGTTTGTTCCTTGTTTGAGTTTCGGTATGGCTAACCTGTCAGAGATTCCAGTTTAATTCACCAGAGATTTTGTAATGGTTCTTTTGTGTTTGTAAATTACCGTTTTATGACCTACATTTCTAAACAGTTGGCTGTGAGCAGTGGCCCACGGTTATTAAGTTGCTTCCCTCTCCCATGTTACCAGTTAGGCTCAACTGTTCTTCCAGAGGACCTGGGTTTGATTTCCAGAATCCACAGGGTGACTCACAACCATGTATAACACCAGTTCTAGGTGATGCAGCGGTCCCCCACCTCCCACCCCCCCCCACACCTTCATAGGCACCAAGCACATACATGATATACACAGGCATACTTGCACCCAAAACACCTACACACATAAAATTTTAAAATAAAAAATTTTAATATACCCGTTATTCCTGGGCGCAGTGGTGGGCAGGAAAGTGCCCTGTATCTTAGCCCCCAGCTCCTGCGAGAGACCTGCTGGATTCACGATCACGCCACTTCTTGTCATTTTGCTTCGCTTTGCAGGCCAGGGTCAGTGAGGGAGCTGGGCACCCTGTCTGCTTCTCTGTGCGCGACCGGCCAGGACTGAACTGGTTTCTAAGCCGTCTGTCTCTCCGCCTTCTTCCCCAAGTCTCCCTAGCAGATTTCTTGTGCTGAGGCTCTGTTTGTTTTTTTCCCCCCCCCAGATGAATGGGAGAGCAGATTCTACTTCCATCCGATTTCTGATTTGCCACCTCCAGAGCCATATGTACCAACAACCAAGACATATCCCAGCAAACTGGCCAGAAATGAAAGCCGGAGTGAGTACCTCTGCTAGGGCCTCTGTCGTGGGGTCTCTGTTGTGGGGCCTCCTGTGAGCGCCTGGGTCCCACCTGAGTTGCACAGGAACGCCAGGCCTCTTGCCTGGAGTGGAGTAGAAAGTCCCACCTGGAGCTTTCTACACTCTGGTAGCCTCTCAAACACACCCGGAATGAGAAATGACTCTTTGAAGGTGGCATTAGCAGCTCAGAACACCTCTGATGTATCAGTGTTGTTATTTTGCTCCTTTGGGTAATCTCTCCCATTTTGACCTTCCTGGGACAGCAAAGGGCAATCCATCATTGATTCCTTCTAGTTAGAGAGTCGCAAAATGCCGTATAAATTAACAAAATAGTGCCTTGACATTTTAAATGTATTGTGGCCATAGTTTTGTGAAGTAGTGTATGAAAATGTTGAATAGATCTATAACCTCACAGAATAGATATTTTCTTTTTACCGGATCCTCTTCCTGTTGTTATCCATCTAATTATGACTTTTTGCACAGTTGTAATGACAATAGACCATTTTTGGTGGTAGGTTTTCACATAACATTTCTGAGTATACACACCCCTATTTTATCACATGGTTTTTTATTACACGGGAGTCCATTCAGTCTGCATACGAGAATTTGCCAGGATTGCACATTTTAGGTCATTCCCGTTGCTTGTTAATGTCTGCACTGCCTGCCATAGCGAAGCCATCCTCTCTCCCCTGAGGAAGAAGAAATGTGAGCCAAAAGGTGGATAGACACTCTGGAATTTCACAGCAACACCTGCACAGGACTAACGCTAAATTAGCATGAGCTGTGTAAAATTAGCAGTGAAACTTGCAGAGACCTCAGAACCTGACCCCTCAAGTCAGACAGTGTATGCACCACCCATAGCCAAGTCCGCACCCTAGCAGAGTACCTCACAGACATCCAGAGCCTGCTGAGCCTCTCAGCACACAGCTGGTCAGTGAGTTCCCAGCCTCTGAGCAGCAGAAATTAAGGCTAATTAGAAGTAAAGTGGCTGATTTCAGGAGTGAGGAATTAAAAAAAAAAAAAAAAAGGCAGTGTTGGCTCAAAATAAGAGCCCAGGGCCATGGAATTGTGCCCTGGGCTATAGTACAGGGTGGTACCAGCAGTTTCATTGGGTTCGCTTTGAATTAAATGAAACACATCGAATATTTGATTTGTGCCACTGACTTCAAAGAATTAAGAAATATTGTAGGGAATTTTCCAAGAACAAATGCCAGAAGTAAACAAAACATTGTTACTTGAAAGAAAAACTCTAATCCTAAAAATTTCTTTTAGTTGGGATTTTGTAGGCAGCACATGCCCAAAGTTATAACTATAAGAAAACTATCCGTTGATGGGTTTAAAGTTTGAATGAAAATAAGCCTTCATGTGGAATAGATGCCTTTGGCTATTTTGGGAATGTGTGTGCGCTCTCGTGTTCATCAATAGGCCATGTCTATCTGTTAAGGCAACTAGAGTGAACTCAATGAAGAGGTTGTTTGTTTAAACTCCGAATACTTCCCCCATTTATCATAAGCATTCTTAATAGAATTTAAATATCACTTTTGGTTTTAAATGAGTAACAGAACCGCCTTCCCATGACCCCTAGATTTCAGTGTTATAGTTAAACATAGCCCTCCCCCATCGTCCTTTCTCTGATTCTAGTGAGTGACCTACTCCCTCTTACATATTCCTTGAGTGACATAGACCCTGAAAGAGAGTAGGCATCTAAAATAGTTTTTAAATTGGTAATTTTTCACTGCCACCCCCAGGTTTACAGATTTTACTTTCAGTAGTAATGGAATGTACAAGTTTTAATAGCAAGTCATCTAATGAAAATAAGGTTCTGTCAGATAACATGTTTCATTCTGCTCCTCTAGCTGCCTCAGCCTCTCAAACAAAGTGGGGGTACACTTGGAGTGGTACCTCTTTGCAGCACTGTACAAGGCCACCTCTTACCTCACTGGCTACTTGTGGTATATCAGGTGACAGTCGGGTGCCATGACTGATGCTGACTTTTGCAGATGACTTCTCAAGAAAAGACTTAGGGGCCTGGAGAGTTGGCTCAGAGGTTAAGAGCACTGGCTGCTCTTCCAGAGGACCTGAATTCAACTCCTGGCACCCACATGGTGGCTCACAACCATCTGTAATGAGATCTGGTGCCCCTTTCTGGCCTGCAGGCATGCTTGCAGACAGAACACTGTGTATGTAACAAATAAATAAATCTTTAGGAAAATATTTAGTTGGAATGGTAAGGAATTGGTAAGAATGGACTGCCATGTTTGTTCAGACACTTGCTCTATCCCACAATTCCCTGAGTCCATCGATTCCCTGCGGGATGGCTGCTGAGGAACCAATCAGTGCAATGCCTAAGTTAGAGCAATGTCCAAACAGACACGCACCAATCACGGGTGCCTCTGGTAGACCTGCATTTGAGCATCTAGCCTCATGCCTCATGCCGGTTAGAGCCTCCAAAAAGCATGGCAGATGAATGAACATTTTTAAATGTGAGTGGATTTTAAACCTGGTCCTAGTGCAATGATAACTCACAAGTGGGCTTTCATGACTTTAAAAAGGACACAGTAATAGAGTGAAAAAGAAAACACAGAAAATATTTGGTAATCATATCTGATAAGAGATTAATATGCAGGATTTATAAAGAATTCCTGTAACTTAACAATCTTGGGCTGGTAAGATTTCTTAATGGGTAGAGGCCTTTGCTGCCAAGCCTGACTTCAATCTCTGGTACCCACATGGCAGAAAGAGGGAACCAACTCCCATGAAGTTGTTCTCTGAACATGTTGTGGAATACTTGGGTCCCCTGTATCCAATAATAAGTGTAAAAATATTTTTAAAGACAAAAATTAAAAATAGATTCAACAATGTCAAAATGTCAGTAGACAGTTTTAAAGAAGATATGTACATGGCTGAAAAGCATATGAAAAGTCACTCAACACCACTAATCTTTATGGAAATGTAAAAGGCTACAGCAAGATACAACTTCCCTGGATCTATACAATACAATTCAGTGTGCCTCCAGTAATTATATTTTCACTGAGTATTAGCTTTGGAAAATGTTCCAGGATCCTAATTTAGGATCCTGTTTCGGAGAAGAAAAGGCACCTGTATCTAAATGGAAAACACACGAAATGTTGGTCTGGGGGAGCAAGCGGGTGTGGTTTTTTTTTGTTTTGTTCATCTGTGTTTTTTAACCCTTTGGTCCATACACACTGTAATTATTTTTACATAACTGTGAGGAGGTACCCAGTGGCCAGCACCCACGGGCTTCTCCTTGTTTATTCATATCACCCCTACTTCCAGCCTTGACCTCTGGCTAAGGCAGTGAGCACCTTTGCAACCAGCTTGGAGTTTGCACGGCAAACACAAGCTTCGAACCAAAATTGTGTTTCATCTGTTTGTTTGTTTGGTTTTTTTCAAGGTGGATCCAACCGAAGAGAAAGGGGCGCCCCACCCCTTCCTCCCATCCCGAGGTGATCTCTGCCTGCTCCGTCTCTACCCAAGCTCCAAAGCTGCTTGTGTTGTTGCTGTTTGAAAACTGCACACCCCCTCCCTTCCTTTGTCCCTCTCAGGGATAGTAGGAGGGAAGGACGGAAGCTGAGGTGGGGATTCATGCGTTTGGTGGGGGGAGGGGATCAGGAACGACGCACCTAGCTGTTTATGTTGTATATATTGTTGAGCTATTGCTTGTGTCGGCTGCGCCCTGCCGGGGTTGGCTGCTGGGATCGATAAGCTTTGTTGCAAATAGGCAGAGACAAATTGTATGCCAGCTTTCAGCCCTACACAGTCAGATGTTCATTGCTTATTTGCTACAGGCTATAGTTGTTAAATTCCCTGAGAGCTGGTTTTGTCCATGCCTTTCTCGATCACGTGGTCTCGGGTCTGTTTCCATGAACCACAGACAGCCCTCCCGGAGCAAGTTGCTGAGCAAGCCTCATGTAACTAAAGCCCTGTGGTTGCAGGATATCCAATTTTTGGCAGTCTGAAGTAGGCTCCTGGGCAGAGCTGTCCAACAGAAACATACTGTGAGCCCCATACCCAATCTTAAAATGACCAGCAGCCATGTTTCCTAAAGGTAGAAAGAAACAGGTAAAAATAATTCCATTTTACTTAACTCTGCACATCTGAGATATCACTTCAACCTGTAATCAGTGTAGCAATTATTATTAAGATATTTACATTTTTGGTACTAAGTCTTCACGCTCCAGTTATCATTCTTTACTTTGGACAAACGCATCACCAGGTTTTGGGTGTCCAGTAGCCACACGTGCCTAAGCACTGTACTGTCAGACCATCTGGATTGGGAGATAGGAGCTAGTACAGAAACCTCTTGTCTAAAAACAGGCAAACTGAGTTTTAGCAATTCAAGATGCCCCAAGACAAGGACAGAATTCAACACCATGTTTGGCAGACAGTGAGACCTTGGGTTTTGGCCCCTTGTTTTGCCTTTTTCCTTAATATGTCCAAGTATTTCTTCAGAGTATCTCTGTCAGAAGTTGACCTAGTACAGTTTACAGAGGCATGGGACTAAGCAAAGAAACTGAAAGCTGGTGGGTGCTTCCTGGCTCAGAGTGAGCCGGCTTGTGCGCTCGCTGGCCAGTAGGTGGATTGCCTTGCAGATCTCCAGTGACCATCAATCCTCCACCCCAGAGCAAACTTCTCCCTCAGGCCAGCAGGAAAGGTCAGGAAGGTATAAAGCCAGATTTATAGGAGTAGAGGATAGATTTGAGATGATGGGCAGAACTCTGCAAAACCCACTGGGGTCAAGTGGGTTAAGGAATTTAGTGGTAGAAACTGGAAAGAACTGGTTTTGGATCTCTTGGGAGACTCCCTTGTTCTGGATCTATGCAATTAAGTTCCACTACAGGAACAGAAAGGACTGTGCTTGCCTTTTTATATACGATTTTGTTTACAAGATTTTACTGGGACTTTTAAATCTAGCTATAGAGTTGGAAAAGGATTTCCATTTTGATGTTTTATATAGTTATGTTTAATATTACCATTGTCTCAATTAAAGCACATGGCCACATGTGTGTTATCTACCTGAACTTCGTATTTTGGGTCCAGTGTATTGCTCACATGTTGCTGGGAGATGCTTACAAAAAAAAATCAATCCAAAGAAAAATGGAAAGACATTCCTATTTATAGAATAATTGTTTCATTTATATGGAAGCAGAACTTAGGAGTTCTAATAGTTGAAATGTCTAATAAATTATGAAGTGACTGATTTGAATATATTGTATTTTTATAACTTTCCTTGCCAAAGCCCTGAACTTAGTATTTGAGAGAGTCATTTTCCTCCCATCTTCTCTGCCATTTGTCTGTCTTCCATGAGAATGAAGAAATAAAGGCTTAACAAGCTAGACTTTTTTTTTCAAGGTAGGCTTTCTCTGTGTAGCTTTACAGCCTGTCCTGGCACTCACTTTGTAGAGCAGGCTAGCCTGGAACTCACATAGATTCACCTGCCTCTGCCTCCTGAGTGCTGGGATTAAAGGTGTGCACCACCACTGCACAGCACAAACGTGACATTTTTTACTTCTAACATTTTTATAATGTATTTCAAATTCTTTGAGCTGATGTTCACTATACTAAACATCCTTTTGATAGACTCTAAGTGACCCACTCTGCTAAAAACAGAATTGTTCCTTCCTTTTGCTGTGTGTGGCAAGGAAAAGTCTGACTCAAAAAACACATGGGTCTGAATTTTTTGGTTGTGAGCCTAGCCTTTAACAGCTGACCTAACCCTCCAGCCCAGGTTCTGAATTTTTTAAGGGATAGTGAAAATTGGACAAGTCCTAGTATGTCTCCATTTTTCAGGTACATTTCTAAATTAGAAATAGGGTCACAGCTCAAAGTTGTCATTCATAATAAAGAAGTTTTAGAATGTATTTTTGAAAGAATGCTTCAGTAATACACCTACATCCTTTCTCTAGAAATTAGTAACCCAGCTGCTTCTCAAACTCTGAAGAAGTTTTGTGCTTATCTTAACCTACCACAGAACACACACACAGAAAGCCCTGACTATTTTCTTCCCTGAAGTCAAAGCTTATGTTTTTTTACATAATATTTCCAGTTCTGTGTATTCAAGATGCAATACAGTATATTTTAACATTTGCAAATCATTTTATATGGAAATATATTACAGTATTAAAATTCAGTGTTCAGTGTCTCCTTCACTATGCATTTTATTTACTGAAAGCTGAGAAAATGTTTAACCCAATGGTGCCTTACTCTATGATCTGAAAGGAATTGACTTTTTATGTCTACGTGGTGGATTATTTGCATATTTGTAAAAACTGTTAGGCCATTATATTTTAACTTGTAATAGCAATTTTGTTGTTGTAATAGCAGAAACAGGGTGGTTATTAAAGTATCCTCAGATCTCTGGTATGAAATTAATTTTCCCTGCTTATAGGCAGGAGCTGTAGAAGAATTTTTTCATACCACCGCACTGTATAAACAGACACACTTAGGTATCTGTGTCATCAGGGTAGTTAAATGGAAGGGTAGACTCTGCCCTGGACACCTGCGTCTTTGTAAGTTCTCCAGACAATAAATAAAATGCAGAATGATATGGTGTGGACTTGTGGCTTTCTTACCTGTGTGAATATAAACAAAATGGTGAATGTCTGCCTCCTGTTCACTCTGTGGTAGAGACAAACTCAAACAAGTTCCTCTTATTACTTATTACTCATCACACCTCAAGATCCCAACGTGTTTGTTTTTCCAGAGACTGCATCTTAGTCAGTCTGTAAAGGGGATACTGGAAGCAATGGAGGAGGGAGAGACACAGGCCGACAGGGACACAGACAGGTCTGGGATAGCCACGGGAGCTTCCTGAAGCATCTGCTGTGCATGTGTGCCTTGCATGCTTCTCAGCACAGCACAGTAGCTGAGCACGTCGGAAGACGTGGCCTCATCTCTTTGTTCGGAGTCCTTTCACCAACCCCTTGCAGTAGGTACAAATCGAGGCTCGGTCTGACAGCATCAGTACGTGTTAGACAAGGGGAAGCACAGACTTACTAGAGCGACGAAACAAGTGGCAGTGTGGAATAGGACGCGAGCGCTTAGGCAGTGATCCCGAAGTTACTGGAATCCAGTCAGCCAGAGGGAGGTTTACCAGTGTGATTTTACAGAGCAAGCCCTAGCAGAGAAATTGCCCCACCAGAAGCACGAACTCTAGACCCACAGTTTGAGGATTGGGTTCATCACATCAGGGAAGGAGTGACTACAGGCTGGTCCCCGTGCATCTGCACTCAGGAAGGGGATAGAATCAGTACTGGTTCTCAGCTTGCTCTCCCAGACCACAAAATGGTGCTGCCCACAACTAGGGTGGATCCCACACACACACACCCCTTAATTAAAAGAATCTAGAAATTTGACAGTCACTTCCTGAGGCTTGTCTCCTAGGTGATCCAGGTCCTGTAGACAATATTAACCATCTCATGTTGCCAGTCAATTGGGTTCAATATGAAGTTCCAGAAATTTAAGAGCCAGAGAGAACCTTCTAGAGAGGATGGCCATAGAACTCAACGTCTACAGTGGGATGCTTCCGGGAAGAGAGTGATGATAAGTTTCCATGGCACAGCAGGTAGCCACTGAGGCTGCCTCAGCAAAGTAGGCCGTGTGGTCTCCCCTCTCAGAAGTCATTCAGTCCAGCCCTGTGTGTCTCTCAGATGGGCAATTTAATGTCCGTCAAATGGCATGCTGCAGGCACACAGACTCACAGTGGGATGATGAAAATGTTCCCTGCCCTTTCCCTCTTCCACAGGTCTCACATTTCTTGCAAACGAAAGTCAATGAAGAGGCCACAGAGTAGTCACCATGCTTGGGCACGCACGCGCGTGCACATAAACCTGGGTTTGGGTCCTATCTCAGCTATTTCCCCTGTAAGGCCACAGATGGGTCTTCAAGCACTCTGCGTTCCCTTCTTCCACTGTACAATGCTTACAACAATACATACGCAAACATCAGGCAAAATGACACGCAAGACGCTCAGTAACAGTCAATTCTAGAGCATTTGCAGTAAACATAGACTGTAGTTGAGGGAAGAATTCTCCACAGCAAGAAGTCCGATGAAATTTAATTACAGAATGGTTAGAATTTCAAAGCTGGGTGTTGGTGGCGCACACCTTTAATCCCAGCACTCAGGAGGCAGAGGCAGGCTGATCTTTATGAGTTCGAGACCACTCTGGTCTACAGAGTGAGTTCCAGAGAAACCCTGTCTCAAAAAAACAAAACAAAAAAGTTGCTTCTGTTTGTATACAGGTGTATTTTTATCACAGCTAATTAAACTCAAGCTCTGAGGACCCCACATACACACATATTGCAAGAGGAGTCCACTAATTAAGGAGGTTTTTAATGTTTGGGTTTTTGTTGTTGGTTGTTTCAAGAGGGCTCACTGTGTGGACCAGCCTGGCCTGAGACTCACAGAGATCCACCTGCTCCTGCCTCCCAAGTGCTAGGATTAAAGGTGTGCACCAACAGGCAGGCCTGGTCAGGACTTCGATATCTAAGTTTTATAAGGTATTTTATGTTTTGAGCCTTGTGAGGCCCGAGTCAGTCGTTGGGTTATTCTCTTTAACTTCCGGTGTAGAACTCAGCCAAAGAGAATGTCTTAAAAAACTTTCCTAGGTTACTATTTTCCCCTGCATGATGAGGATGCTGGCAGATGGGAGACAGTAGCTGTTTGCCTCCTTATACTCCCAGTGTGACCAGAAACACTCAAGTGATTAGCTCATGAACTACCACACAGCTGTAGGATCTAAAGCTCTACAACTTGAACAAGGGTCTCTGCACATTGTCATTGTATGTATATAGCTAATCTTTGTATCTTTACACTTAGAAAACTCCAGGCCAAGAGTTGCAGCTCAGTGGTTAAAAGCACTTGCTATACAAGCTTGAGGACCTGAGTTCAAATCCCCAGCATCCACATAAGCAGCTGTGCCATGCCTATACTGAGGGGCAAGAGACAGGTGGATCCTGAGAGCTCACTGGCCAGCCAGCCTAGCTGAACTCATGAGCTTCAGGTTCAGTGAGAGACCCTGTCTCAAAGCTGTAACATAGACAGCAATAAAGAAAGACACCCAATCTCTTACTGTGACCCCTGTAATGGCACTCAAAGGCCCACCAGAACACGCGCACACACACACAGAGAGAAAGAGAGAGGGAGGGAGGGAGGGAGGGAGGGAGGGAGGGAGGGAGGGAGAGATGGAGGGAGAGGATCAACAAACATGTAATTAGTTTTAGTTTTTTTAAAAGGAGAGAGAAATCAGTGCCCAAATTTGCCTCAAGACAGCTGCTTCTTGTGGACCCAGGATTCAAATTAAAAAATACTGCTATTCCGTAAAAACAGGAGGTGAAGCTAACTAGCATTGCTTAACGGGAAGCTTTACATTGTCCTTATTTTGCTCACTGGATCATGGATGGGCTGACTCTATCCCTGTACCACCTGGGACACATGGCCACCTCCTCCACTACCACCTCCTCCTCCATCATCATCATCATCATTACCCTCCTCTCCATCCTCATTGTTCCTCCCCCCTCCCCCAGGTGTTGGTACTGGCCTGGGTACTGGGAATGCAGGCAGGGCTGATGTGCTCGCCCACACACTGTCCCTCAGATGTCACCTAACTCCCATCCCTTCTTCCATTCTTTACTCTCCCAAGTGACTATAATGGTTGCCTTGAGGCTTTATCAGGGACATTTATACCTGTGCTTCTCAGCTTCCAGCTGTCACAGACCCACGCCCTTTCAAAGTGACCTCAGAGAAGCTGCTAGAATGCAGCTGTCATTTCATTCAACAGTTGCAGATTTCTGGAACTCTCCACGGACAAGTCGGACTGTAATGCGAAGAGTTAACCTTCTCTCTTGTGTACCTCTGTCCGTTTTGTCTATCCAGTATTTGTGGAGCGCTTTTGTGAATTTGTCTTTTACTCTCCTTGGAGTTGGAGAACGTTGTGGCTCAGTCAAATACCAAGTGATAGGAATCACTTTGTATAAAAGTTTAAAGCAGACTCTATGTGCTTCAGGCATGCATACTCACATGCATATTCACACATATTCAGAGGAAAAATAAGGTTACAGCAAAAAGAGAGGCTCGTGTCTGACAAGATTTAGACAGTGCCATCAGTTTCAAAGGCTTTCCCCATTACCTCATTGAACCCACGGCAGAAGGAAGAAACTTGTCCCCGTTTTGCAGAGAGCTAACAGCACTGAGAACTGACAAATCAATCAGGGTCCTGGTGTTCTGTTGGTATTTGAGACAGGGACTAACTAGGTAGTCCACACTGACCTAGAACTCATGACCCTCCTCTCAAGTGCTGGGTCTGCTGTTTATTGTGGCAAGAACTTATGTTGGATGAAAGGAGACCAGGCCAGGTGTTGTGGTAAGCATACAGGTGGGCCTGTGAGCCCCACTGTGTGAGAGGCTGAGGCAGTGCCTGCCTGGATAACAGCAGCACTGTCTCAAATTTTAAAAAATTCACAAAAGGCTTGAGATGTGGCTCAGCAGTAGACGGCTTGCTTAACTATTCCAAACCCTAAGTTCAGTTCCCAGTACTACAGGGAGAGGGGGACATGATAATGCATCCCTCTGACATTTTCAGTCACACTGTTTTGTGGCATTTTTATCATAATTGTCCTAACATATTTGACAAATATTACTGACTGATCACTGTTTCATTAATAAGAACATGAAAGTTCAGAGCCGATGAAGAAGCAAGGGCCTGTGTCACATGTATGACATTCCAGGGAGTTTATGGAGCAAGCCTATAGTTCCAGAGCTAGGCAGGGCACGCCACTGCTCTGAAATGATGCATTCTGGGAACTCCAAGAAAGACTGAGTCTGTGAGGCTGGCCTGGGCATGCTGGGTCACACTCACATCATTGCCCTCATCACTCTGGTGTAGCTCTGCAGTTTTCACAGTGGTAGGTAAGAACTCCTGCACCAGGACCACTGGGGAGCTTGACACTTGCAGACACCAGGACTCACCTAAACAACAATTCTCAGAACTCAAGGAGCAAGCTTCAAGGGTATCACACATTCAGGTTGCAGAGTCTCAGCACTTTGGGCTTTGCCTTTGCTTGAGTCTTTAAAACAACACTCCCATCTGGAAAACATATGAAATAATATGAAAACCATGATGGCCTCCCTTTTTGTCATACCCATTGCCTACATTTCACCCTGGCCACGTGTGCTGACTCATTAAGGTGATATTGTCTCTAAAACAACCACCTTAGGGGTGGTAAGATGGTTGAGAGGGTGTCTTGGTTACTTTTCTATTGCTGTGAAGAGACGCCATGACCAAGACAACTTATAAAAGAAAGCATTAAATGAGGACTTGCTTACAGTTTCAGAGGGTGAGTCCATGACCATTATAGTAGGGAACATGGCAGCAGGCAGGCAAATATGTTTTGGGAGCAGTAGCTGAGAGCTTATTAAGACAACAACCACGAGTCACAAAGAGAATGCTAACTGGGAATGGCATGGGGTTTTGAAACCTCAGCGCCCACCCCCAGTGACACACCTCCTCCAACAAGGCCACACCTCCTGATCCTTCCCAAACATCTA